GTTGCTTGTTTAAATTTTTTCAAAATCCTACGATTAGTTTTGTCAAAATTTTACTATAGATTTATTATAGTTTTGGCAGAGTTTCGGCAGTTTCGGCATTTATAATAAGTTTCGGCAGTTTCACCTTTCTCCAAAGTTTCGCCAGTTTTTTAATATAACTTTAATATAGTTTCAGCAGAATTTCGCTTTTCGGCAAAACGCCATCTTGCCTAAACCCTTAAGTTTTGGCAAGTAACCTTAGTTGTGAAACATTTTTTTATTTCAATTTAACGAATAAAAAAAACCATTTTGCAATGGATTTTAATCATTTTAATAAAAATGTTGTGAAACGTTTTTTAACAATTAACATTTCGCAACGGTTTTAACTTCGTAACAGGGTGTTTTGATCTGATCTGATCCAGATCCAATCTGAATTTGCTCGAATCAAATCTGATCTGATTCGATTTGAATGAATGGTTGATCTGATTTGATTCGATTCGAATTGGATCAAATTTTTTTGATTCAGATTGGATCACAGATCATAAAATCTATGATTCAATCTGATTTGTCTCAGATCAGATTCGCAGATATGAATCGGATCAGATTTTTTTCGAAACATTACCTATAAGTAAGTCATTTATAGTGCTCAAAAAATTTATTGGACTTTTAATAAAAAGTAAACCAAATAACATAATTTGATGACAATAAACTTAGTTTTTATATTATATTTTAATAATTAGTACTTTGGTTTGCTATGATGTCAGATTTTACGCTATTATATAATTACTCCTAATTTTTGATATAGGACTCTCTACTTTATTTGCGGATCACAAATTAATTTAAAATCTATAGTAATGCATAAGATATATAATTCTTTATAATTCAGTTAACAATTAATAATTTTATGATGGAAAAGAAAAGGAATGAAGTGGATAGTAAAATTAAAAGAATAATATGAAAAATGAAATTGGAGTAAAGAGATGATGAAAAATAAAATGGGAGTGAATGGAATGATGTAAAATGAAATAAATAATGGAAAATAAAATGGGAGTGAAGGGGATAATGAAAATGAAATGAAAGTGAAATAGGATGATGAAAATAAAATAGGAATAAAATGGGATGATGTAAATGAAATGAGATAACAAAAATGAAATGGAATGTTGCAAAACAAAATGGAATGATGAAAAATGATATGAAGCAATATAAAGTGATAAAAGTGATGAAAAGTGATGTGGCATAATGAAAAATGATATGGAGCAATATGGAGTGATGAAAAATAATATGAAATAATATGGAGTAATGAAAAATGATATGGAGCGATGTGAAATAATAAAAAATGATATGGAGTATATATGAAGTCGAAATTAAAGCCCAAAAGTAGAAATATTTCAACTTGGGAAGGTCAAAAGTCGAATTAAAGTCAAAATGGTTGAAATTACATTATAGTCATGTGATTTTTATAATTATAATTTAATATAAAATTTTAAATGTGAATAACTCCGTCAATATTGATGCTACAGATATGAAATACATATCATTGGAATCCTCTCGATGAGCTGAATCCAACCGCGTAAAGATTATAAAAATTGAATCACTGTATGCGGAGATCGTTAACTTTGAATTTTAAAATTATTGTTTACTATAAAAATTATAAGACTATTTAATACCAAATTTTAAACGAGAATAACTCCGTCAATATTGATACTACAAATATGAAATACATATCATTGGAATCTTCTCGATGAGCTGAATCTAACTGTGTAAATATCATAAAAATTGAATCACTGGATACGGAGTTTGTTAACTTTGAATTTTAATATTATTGTCTACTATAAAATCATATAATTATGACGTAATTTTGACTATTTCGACTTTTGGAGGGGTTCAAGTCAAAATCATTTTGACCATTTTGACCATTTCAGAGGTCAAAATTAACCAATTTCAGTTTCATGTATAATATGGAGTGATAAAAAATGATATGAAGCGATATGGAATGATATGGGGCAATATGAAGTAATGAAAAATGATATGGAGCGATGTGAAGTGATGAAAAATGATATGAAGCAATATAGGATGATAAAAGGTGATATGGAGTGATGAAAAACAATATGGAGTGATATGGTGTAATGAAAAATGATATGGAGCAATATGGAGTGATGAAAAATGATATTGAAGCAAAAGGATGATGATAAATAAAAAGGATAATTAAAAACAAAATGGAAGCAAAGGGAATGATAGAAAAATAAAATAGAGGCGAAGGGAATATTGAAATAATAAAAAATAAAAGGAGCGAAAAAAAATAATAGAAAATAAATGAAAAGGAAGTGAAATGGATATAGAAAATGAAAAGAGAATAAAGTGATGATAGAAAATAAAAGAAACATTTTCAATAAAGAAAACAATAAAATAGCAAAATACTAGCAATAAAAGTGAATCATACCTTAAACCTTTTGAAGTTATTTGTTTTCTGAAAAATAAGTTAACAAGTTAGCATAAATGAAACAGAACATTAAACTAGCGAAGTAATAAGAAAATAAAAAAATCTTACCTTAAAGAAGTTCTAGCCATTTTGAAAATAATACTACAAAAAAGCAAAAAAAAAAATATGCATTACAGCTACTATGCATTTGTGTAATATAAAATTATCTAATGAATTTCACTGGGGTAAATCTAAAATTTTAATGCATTGTAAATCAAGATAAAATTCACTTCAGTAAAATTCACCGGAAGTGAATGTAAAATTAATCCTATTATTTTTTTAATTAATCATTTATTAATTTAATATATTTGTATTCTATAGATATATTTTTATATGTTTTTACAAAAATAATAACAAAATAATATATAATTATTTAAACTAAAGTACTTTATTTTTGGACTACATATTTTAAATTTTTGTGCCATTGATAGTTTTATTATAAATTATGTGACTATACATTTTCTTTAAACTAAAAAGTTAAAACAATATACCAAATATGGTAAGAAAATATAATGAATTAATATTGAGTAAAGAAGTGTGATATATTAAAAAAAGTATTATTTAGAATTAAAGTAAAAAAACATGAAATAGTAAATATTTTTATTCTGAACTATAATCTATTTTTTGTACAGATCAAGTACTTCAATCATAAATAAAGTGGTTAAATTCTTTTTAAATGATTTTTATGTGAAAATCATATAATATTTTGCCTGAATTATAAAATTATAAATTAGTCATAATTTTAGTTAATACATATTGGCTGATTGGGAAAATTGGACCTTAATCGTTTCCCTAAACTATTAATATTACGTAATCTGATTCTCTAAAAACTAAATAATTTCCTTTTTTTATGTGTTTTATGTTTTTATTATGTATATTATTAAGTAATCATGTCTAACCATTGTCTCTCTTCCTAACCCATTGTTCCAAATACTATGGTCTGTCAAAATATTTATTATTTATAACAGATGGGTTTCTAGAGTATTGATGTGAGTATATATATAATAAATGTAAAGTGGTCACCAGAAGTATATTTAAGTGGTGTAGTTTAATTTATTAGCTGACAATTGATATGATGGTCCCTCTTACTGATCACAAAAATATTTCACAAAATTTTAGGAACTTCCTTTATCGGCCGATATGTTTAAAATTTAAAATATAATATAAATTGATTTGTAAGTTGGTAAGATGTAATATTGCATTTGAGTTATTAAATTCAAAATATATCTTCTTGATTACTAAACAAGTTATCATTTTCCTATAATATAATTTTCTATATTACAAACATTTTCAACATAAACTTTTCTCATTATTTTTCACATTAATAATTGTTTTAAATACTTGAATATATTTATTACTTTTTTTCAGCAAGTCAAAGGAAAATTGTATAATTTATAATTATGCTGATCATTGATAATTTTGCCATATTTTTCAGTGAAAATTTTGATGTTAAAAATTTTATGGCCATTTAAAATTAGGGTTTTAGACTTGATGTGCTCTAGCTGTAGGTTCCGTAGTTACCTTGACATAGAAAATAGGGTAAGAACGACACGTTACAGGCGTGTATACCTATTGAGTCAAACAACTACGTATGACGAGTGGTTTAATAATATTAGAGTAGTTTTAATAGCCATTTCTTTTTGTAATTTTTCTGTTTTATTTTTACTCTAATAAAATCGCAAATGCACTGCGAAATTTTTTTTTTTAAAAAAATATAATCCATTCTTTTATTCTGATTCAGTGGATTTAATTGGATAAACAAAACAATATATTAGCTCTAAAATATATTTATTAAAATTTATTATCGATTTTTAAAGGGTATGATATTTTTAAAGCCTGTTAGATTTTGCTGGCATTAACATAAAAGTATTCATTTTACCATCACAAATATCATGAATATCATATATAGCAGAAAAAGCAATTATAATATTTTCCCAAATCCAAAATTCTATTTGAATAAATAAATAGAGTTAGGTATGATGATTTTTTTAATAAAAATGATGAGAAATATATATTGCAAATGGTAAGAAAAATATGTAACACGGCAAGCTATTATTAAATTAGTCCAGGACCAGTTAATCCTATATGTGGTAATGACAGTGTGTGACATAAAGTGACAAATATGATACAGTATTAGTATGTGAATTACATGTCTGAGCAGTTTTTATAAATTCAATTTTAAAAGTGATCGTGGGCATTTGTTACTTAAATACGAATAGAATTTTTAATTCCCTTTATATCTTTACATTTGTTCTATCTTAAAAATTTGTGAATGTTCCTCGTGTGATTGTTCACTTGAAATACTGGATCAAGATAAGATATGATTTTCCATCTATTATTATAGATTTTCATTAAAAAAAAAAAATGATATAAGGCTTTCTGCATTTCACAATTTTTAACTTTTTTAGTAATCACGTAAACCCGATTTACCAACCTTTCTGCTCAACAAAAAAAAAAAAAAAAAAAATATTTCCTTTTCTTTTTCTTCAATTTGGAGTTAATTCGTGTCACATTTTCTTCAACTTCTGGTTCTCACATGGCAATGTCTTCTACTTCTAATTCTATAAAAATATTTTCGGGTAGTTCACACGTTGAACTCGCTAAACTCGTAGCAAAGTATGTACCTTGCGAATTTTTAAAGGTCGTTTTTTTTCGTTTTAATAAATTATCAATCCAACCGATTTTTTTTACTTTTAATTCGTCATTTATCGTGTTCATATATCATTATACATAAAATGAATTCAGACGAATAGGAATAGATTTATCCAAAGTTGTCGTTTTAAAATATTCTAATCAAGAGACTTCAGTGACAATTGGAGAGAGTGTACGTGATGAAGATGTATTCATTATTCAATCAGGATGCGGAGAAATTAATGATAATTTAATGGAACTTTTAATCATGATAAATGCATGTAAAACTGCTTCAGCACGTAGAATTACTGCGGTAATTCCCTGTTACCCTTACGCAAGACAAGATAAAAAAGATAAATCAAGAGCTCCAATTTCTGCTAAATTAGTAGCTAATATGTTAACCGTGGCTGGAGCAAATCATGTTATTACTGTGGATTTACATGCTAGTCAAATTCAAGGCTTTTTTAATATTCCTGTAGATAATTTATATTGTGAGCCTTCTATGTTAAAATATATCAAAACTCATATATCTGAATGGCAAAATTCAATTATTGTTTCTCCTGACGCAGGTGGAGCAAAAAGGTATTTAGTACACAACAGTACACAATTCTTTTTATTCTTATGTAATCTCTATTTTTTCTTTCTCTAAAAGTTTGTTCTTTTTGTGCAGAGCGGCGTCAATCGCAGATCGTTTGAATCTTGAATTTGCTTTAATTCATAAAGAGCGTAAAAAAGCAAATGAAGTATCACGTATGGTTCTAGTTGGTGATGTTAGTGGGAAAACTGCAATTCTTATTGATGATATGGCAGATACCTGCGGTACTTTAAAAATGGCCGCTACAACTCTTAAAGAGCGTGGTGCCTCCAAAGTATACGCAATAGTGGCTCATGGTATTCTTTCTGGTAAAGCTATTGATGTAATTAACGATTCACAGTTGGAAAGTTTAGTAGTAACAAATACTATACCACATGATGACAAAAAAGCCATTTGTTCAAAAATTGATACCATTGATATTTCTCCTACCTTAGCTGAAGCTATTCGACGTACTCACAATGGCGAATCTGTTTCATTTTTATTTTCTCATGCTCCTGAATAAAATTACTTTTTAATATTTTATGATGCATAATGTTTTTTTTGCTAATAATGGATAATAAATAGAATATTTTTAAAAAGAAAAGAAAAAGAACACCTTATATTTTATTATAAAAATTTTTTATTGCTATAAATTATTATTTTACTAAATTTTTGCATAACAAATAAAAGATTTGAGCAAATTAATTCTTAGTTATTTAAATAATTTCTTCAATTTGTTGCATTTCATTCGAAATTTCTTCAAAATATTGATCCATTAAACGACTAGCTGAGTTACGTAATAATTGATCTTCTATCAATGTAACAGATTCTAATGCATCAATACCCTGCATACTTTCCATTAATTGCTTACCCTAGGTTAAAAAAATGTATATTGAAATATTAATATTTGAAATGATTTCATTTTAAACAAATTTAACTTACGTTTTGAACTTGTGTCAACAGCATTTCAATATAACCTAACCCTAAGCGAATCAAATCAAAATCTTGGGATCGAATATATTCTAAGAAACCTGATATATAAAGACATATGATTAAATCACGTGATTAAATCGCGTGATCAAAGCGCGCGGAAAAAAATTTTCGAGATTACCTGGCAAAAGTTCTTGATGGGGTAACGACCTCATAAACTCTGCTCCATGTGAAGCAATATTTATTAAGCCGTAGGCAGCTTCCTTTCGAATATCAAAGTTGCTATGAGTAGCAATAATTGAAAGAATTGGAATAAATCCAGTGTTAAACACTTTATCTAAAACGTCTGGGCGACGACTAAATTAATTGAATGCACAAGTTAGTTGGCCACTTAAACACGTTTTAAATAGTTTGTAATTACTCACGCTGCCGTTATATTGGACATAACCCACAAACTTTCCTTCTTGACTGGCCTAAAATCACGTGACTAAGTTATTATCGTTTTTACACTTTATAATAAAAATAGGAACTCGAATAAAAAATTTTTACCTGCAATCACTTTGAATAAATTCAATCATCGTTGGTAAGAAATCAGACTGTTGAATCAAGATATCTGTATTCTCATCAGGACCACTAGCAATATTACCCAATGTCCTAATTAAAGGTAATGCTAAAGGCCCATGGCCCAGCAACGGTCTCATGTGTTTAACCTAATAAAAATGTAACAATTTTTAATGCTAATTTGACTTAGGAACGCTGTAATAAATTTTTTAAATACCAAAAGTGAAGCAAGCCCTTCCTCCAACAATTGAGTGGTATATTTATTGTCTTTATCGCTAGTTATATAAGTTAATACCCAAGCAACCTCAGAGACAACTTCAAAGCTCTGTCGAATGACAAATTATAAAATTAATATTAAATTAATGACTAAATAAAATAATTAGACATTTATCTCTCAAACCTCATCAGTTTTTAAGTGACGCAAAAGGTGTTTATCGATACCTCCAGCAAAAAACTCGTCCAAACCAGCATTTGGGGTACGAGCAAGATTTGAGAGAGCGAAACAGGCTGTTTGGACAAGATTTACATCCTAATATAAATGCAACATTTATTATTAGTTTATAAACTCTAATGTAAGTAATAATTCTCAAAATTAGTTCGGAATTACCTTATAATCAAGCAAATTGATCAAGGGAATCAAAACACCATTCTTACGAAGTAAATCCCTATATTCAGGACTTTCTATTGCAATATTACCGATAGCCCAAGCAGCCTGATCTTGCAAGGACTGTTATAAAGCGTAAGTTATGCAATATATAGGTCACATATGATAAACGATTTAACGCGTCATTACAAGTCTAACTTACAATATTATCCCTTTCAAGGAAAGAGATCAAATACGGGACTGCTGTCAAAGCCTTATTAACAAACTCCTTAGGTCCAGCAGCAATATCTTTGTTTAAAGATGCATTATAGAATTTATCAAACAGATCGATGATATAGTGCACTATAACTTACAACACATACTTGTTATACACCAAGTAGCCTGAAGTTGTTCTTCCGGATCAATACCGGATAAGAATTTCTGTATAGTTTATCGATAAAAATGTTAAGATAGGTCTTGAAAGTTTACTCATTCATGATGAAAACAGGCAAATCACATACAATTAATATCTCAATACAATTTCCTTCAATTACAAACTGTTTTAAAGTATCCGGAGGATCCACAAGAAATTTACTTAAGTCTTGAAGACTTGAAAGTCTTGTATCACGGTTAACATTCTATAATCAATGATAGGCAGATATTTTACATTATAACGAAATTTGATTTTAATGTTTAATATTGTATTCATAAGATATCCAGGCAAAAAAAAAATAAATAAAAATTAGTACTGACACTCAGACCAGATTTCAACTTTTCAATGTCTTGCTGAGATAATGTAAATTCTGGTTCTACACATAAATGATTCACAATAAATTTAATTTATTACATTAAAATACTAAAAATTTAAAATCTGATCCAGGATATACCAGCATCATCATCATCTCTATAATTTTCGTGATGTTTGAAACGTTTAGCACTGATTAATTGTTCGCGTTGTCTTTTTCGAACTTGCGCATCGAGCTCAATACGTCGTTGTCTTGCTTCTTCAGTATTCCTAGGAAGACTATTACGCTTATATTTAGATTTATGTACGGCTGTTGGAGAAGGAGGAGGAGGCTGTTTGGGAGGACTTGAAGACTCGAAAGTAAAGGCATTCTCAAACTTATCTTTATTATTCGTGAAATCTATATTCATATTACTGAAGGAGTGAGAGTTGAATTTTACAAATTTTCTGTTACACGAATTTAGTTAAGCATTTATCTTGAATAATTCTGACCGGCACTATAAGTCAGTCATCTGTGCGTACAGTAACAAAGTTTAAAAAAAAATTCGAAATCAAAAGATAATGCCAATTCATTTATTAATATCTTCGGAATAAAATAATTAATTAAATTAATTCTATTAACATGAAGACATTGCCCGCTGACTTCCTTTTCCCGGCACACAAAGATATAATTTTTGTACTCCCAAAAATAAAAAAAAAGTAGTAAAATTTCGCATGAAGTAAAAAAAAAACTACAGTTGAAGTGTAATTGGTAATTAAGAACAAAATACCACTTTTAACATATAAACCGGATGATGTGTGAATTACTTCGTCAAATATATATAATAAATGTTATTGCTAATATAAGAATTTTTTTAAGTGTAAAGTAGTTGTAATACAATAAAACAATATTCTAGAAATGGGAATAAAAAATATATAAAAGTGTGAAATAACAATAAAAATGTTTATATTTAAGTCGATAGCGTTTAATTTTGAATACTTTTGTGGTTTTAATTTATATTTTAGGTTAAATATATGTTTTTTTTGTCGATTATAATTTTTTTTTTTTTGGTGGTGATATGAATGAATCGTAAAATGAGTAATAATGTGAAAAATATATATATATTTTTTTTTTAGATCAAATCCGCTACATTCATGGGCATTTCATCGATTTGTGTGTTGTAAAATTGTTCTGTGCAAAAAATAGAAAATGATCAAGTTAAATAAAATCCCCAAATTGTAAATGTATGTAAGTAAGTATAATAAAACAATAATCAATAAATTATACCTATGTCGCGGAGCATTCTAACATCTTCGCTCGTAACAAAGTTAATAGCAACACCTTTTCTACCAAATCGACCACCTCTACCAATACGATGAATATAATTTTCACGATTGGTAGGAAGATCATAATTGATGACCTGACAGAAAATATTGTTAAGTTTGTGTATTCTGGAAATTAATTTGCGAAAATTAATCTAATATACTTACCAATGATACTTGTTGAACATCAATACCACGAGCTAAAAGATCCGTGGCGATAAGTACACGAGAGGATCCGGAACGAAACTCTTTCATGATAACGTCACGCTGAGCTTGATCCATATCTCCGTGCATAGCGGATACAGTAAATTCTCGGGCATGCAATTTATCGGTTAACCAATCGACTTTTCTTCGTGTATTACAGAAAATAACAGCCTGGGTAATAGTCACGGTTTCGTACAAATCGCACAAAGTGTCAAGTTTCCAATCCTCCTTCTCAACGGCAATATAAAATTGCTATATATCATATCAAAAGTCACAAGTGAGTCTATGTTGCATTAAACCAAAATTTTACATAAGCTACTTGCCTTAATACCTTCCAATGTTAATTCGTCACGCTTAACTAGAATTCTAACGGGTTCACGCATAAATTTGGTGGTCACTTCCAGAACATCAGCTGGCATCGTAGCAGACAAGAGAACTACTTGGGTGCTTGGAGGAAGGAGCTGGAAGACATCATAGATTTGTTCTTTAAAACCACGTGACAACATTTCATCTGCCTCATCCAAAACAAACATCTTGATATGATCCGTTTTTAAAGCACGCCTGTTTATCATATCAAATACACGTCCGGGTGTTCCAACGACTACGTGGGCACCAGCTTCGAGCTTTTTAATTCCTTCACGAACGTTTGTACCACCAATCGAAGCATTGCATTCAACGTTCATGAAATCGCCAAGTGCAATTACTACTTTCTGAATTTGTTGAGCCAATTCACGAGTCGGAGCAAGTACAAGAGCTTGACACTGATTAATGGACATATCAAGCTTTTGTAAAATAGAAATAGAAAATGTAGCAGTCTTGCCCGTTCCCGATTGCGCTTGGGCAATTACATCATGCCCTTTTATAACAGGGAGAATAGCTCGCTGTTGAATAGCCGAAGGTTTTTCGAACCTAAAACCATAAGTTTAATATTACATATAGTCTGTCTGCTAGTATTTATTTAAATTAAATAGAATCGATATATTTTACCCGTAAGCATAGATACCCCGGAGAAGTTCAGGTTTAAGATTCATATTATCAAAGTTGTCGACCACTTCTTCCCAGTTGGACTAATTTTTAAAAGTATATGTTAATGAAACAAATTACTTAATTTTTATGATTTAAATATCTAAATTATTTATGTTCGCATAACTTACCTCAATCTCTGCATCCGGGATATCATTAAATTCTTCGTCTCTATTAATCAAGCAAAAAAATTGATTAGCATCACAATGAAACGATATGTTAACATGATATGGATAACTACTAGTCATTTTTTGCTTATACTAAGTGATCGAAAGCAAGAAGGGAACTAAGTATTGACATCTCTAAAAGCATAACACTTAGCGGTTTTCTAAATAATTTATAAATCTCATAAATCATCTCTCGTAATGATCAAATGAAGTTACTATATTCATTCTTTTAGCACAGATAATCTCTTTATTGTACTGTTTTCAAAACTACTTTATGTCCTTTGAACAATAAATACATAAGTTAACTTGATACTTACTTACTCATACTTGAAAGATGGAAGGAAATTCTCAAGATTTAATGTAGTAAAATTATAGATTAAAAAAATATCTCGATTGTTTATAAAAATTTTTTGAAAAAAAAAAAAAATTTTTTTTTTTCTCTGATGTACAATTCAGGGTGCCGAGTCCGACTATCTCCCTTTTTTAAAAGTTGCCCTTTAATTCTTTCCACGTGGCAATTGTACTCCCTAATTTGTAATATCAATATAAATTAGCATATCTTAACTGCGGAATTGCGGTAACTGCGGATTGAAATATAACACAAAATTTAGAACTAAAATTGGTGGCATCATTCCCTTTTAAAATATGTTCTATTTAAGTTTCATGTTTGAACAATTACCATGGAGAGGCGTGTTAGAGTTTCGTAAAACGACTATAAGAAATTCTGAACGCGTTTGCTTGAACTTTCCTATACGAAAAAGTTTGGGTAGCGTAGTACAGGTAAACATGCGTTATAGTTCAACTTTAACCTATTTAAGACCATATCAAAAAGAATGCATTGATACCTGTCTAAGCAAGTTTCTTGATCATAAAGTTAACCGCCAAATTGTATCGTTACCTGTAGGTAAGTCGGACAAATAAATTTACAATATTTACGCGCATTTCTTGTATATATAAAGTCAAAATTATATTAATCCCTGAGAATTTATATTATAGGAAGTGGAAAAACGGTAATTGACATTACATCAAAAAGATACGGCAAATCATAATCACACGTGTTAATATCGAAAGAATTTATACATCGATAGGTTATCTTTTCAAATTTAATTAAACAAATTCCATCTCCTTTTCCTGATGCCGATAAAGTTCTTGTACTCGCTCACCGAGAAGAATTGATTGATCAGGCATTTAGTCAAATTAAAAAACATTCAGATTTGGTAGGAATCGTTTATAAAATTTCTTTATTCCAGATAAAGGAATAACAAATTTTACAGTCGATTGAAATAGATCAAGGTGGAAGGAGAGCAAAAGGAGATGCAGAAGTTATTCTTGGTAGTGTAAATACACTTGGAAAATTAGAATCACATCGCATTGAAAAATATAATCCATCTCACTTTAAGGCTATTATAATTGACGAAGTAATTTGTTTTAGTAATTGTTTGTTGTTAATCATTGGTGAATATTATTAATCAATACATACGATATACTTATAATAGGCTCATCATGTTGCGGCATCGTCTTACCGCAGAATTCTAAAGTATTTTGGTGCCGATAAGAAAGAAACTCATTTGTTTGTTTGGGGATGTTCTGCTACAGTTCGAAGATATGATGGATTAGCGCTAATAAATGCATTCGACGAGATTACATATCATAAGGACTTCTTGGATATGATTCGGGAAAAATGGTAAGTGATAAATTCAGTATATTTAACCGTAGACTTATAGTGGAATTATTCTAATTAAGCATTCATATGTAGGCTTTGCAATCTCAGGGTAACTACAATAAAAACCAACGTTGATTTATCCAAAGTTAGAAGCTATAAGGAAGATTTTCATATGAATGATCTCTCCAAATATCTCAATGTGGATTCGCGTAATAATGTTATTGTGCGTACATATCTTGAACTGGCAGGTAAGTCTTTTGTTCCATTATTATTTTGTTATTTGACAAAATGTGAGCTTATTACTTATGTATTCTTATTTAAAGCGCAGAGAAAATCCACGTTGGTTTTTGGGGTAGACATTAAGCACATTGAAAGTTTGACAGCAATATTTAAAAAGTATGGACTTGATGCTCGCGGAATAAGTAGTAAAACGAAGTCTCATATTCGTGCAGAAACCCTAAAAGAATTCAAAGAAGGAAAGTTCCCTGTTCTAGTGAATTGCGGTATATTGACCGAAGGCACTGACATACCAAATATTGATTGTGTAATAATGAGTAGACCAACCAAATCACCTGTACTCTTTCAACAAATGATTGGACGCGGAATGCGTCTTTCTCCAGAAAAGGAGGATTGTTTGGTATTAGATTTTATCGATTCTTATAGCCAAATTCCCGATTTAGTTACTACTCCTACTTTGTTAGGATTAGATCCTACAATGGAAATGAAGGGTGAGTTTTGTGTAATTAATTATTGCGTGATTTTTATATTTATTTAGTCCTTATTACCTTGCAGATGAGAATTTAGAATCACTTTACGTACACAAGAAAAAAGAAAAAAAATCAAAAATAACAATAGATACACCAACAAAGATTCATATAACAGAATATAGTAATCCTTTTGAAATTATTGATGATTGCTCAGGAGCAAAATACATTGGAAGTATTTCAGAGAATGTATGGCTTAGAGTCGGAGAAGACTCGTATGTTATATCATTACAATCTTATGGGACAATAAAAGTAAAAAAAGAAAATGGTACGAAATTAATTGCGTATTTATATTAGTTCTTATTTATGATATTGTAATTTATTATTGTTTAATGTTTTGTAGGAACATATTGTGCTATAAAACGTAAAAAAATTTCCAGAATGGTTAAAGGTACTATGAAGCATTATTATGTTATAGAAAATTTACCCATTACGAGTGATTCATTATTTTCCACGATACGTGCCTGCGATAGATGGATTAAAGAAAAATGTGGAATAAAGACCGCGAATACTATAGCTTCGCGATATGCCAAATGGCGAAATCATCCATTAACAAAACAACAGACCAATTGGTTGAAAAAAAAATTAGTTAGCTTGAGCGAAGAAGAATTGAATCGATTGAATAAAGGTCAAGCATCAAATTTGATGACGAAGATAATTGAAGGTGCTGAAAGAAATTGGAAATTAAAGCAAAAGCAAAGATTGATAGTTGAAAAAAAGAAAGAAAAGGAGAAAAAGAAAAAAGAAAAATATAAAGTTAAAGTAGGGCCTCTGAAATAAAATATTAACAATTTCCTGTTTGGATCTGTTTTGTTATTAAGTCGACTTTAATAAAAAATAATAATTCATTGACGCATATGTATTATCAGTAAATATTTCTCTATTTTTGAGGACGAATTTTTTAGTGTTACTCTGTACGACCGATTATTTCTGTATCTTACAAAAAACACAGCTAGTGTATTTATTTGTTACAAAATAAAATTACAAATCGTCTAATAATTTACAAATCTGATTTGAATTTTCTAAAATTAATTTTTAATAAATAATTAAAAGAAACCCGCTCACATAAATTTTGAAAATAATAATATTAAAGGATTATTTTAGTACAAAAACACAAAGAAAACGCCCAAACCGAAACTAAGCATGGCATATAATGAAGTTCCAAATAAAGATGTAGCAGAATTTTCTGAATAAGAATCGTAATTATCATAATTATAAGATTTACCATTGCTATTTTTAACATTACCATCTCTTAAACTCTTAGGGCTATATATGGTCCACCATTCAGAAGCACCATTTGTCGTTTTTAAAAATTTACTAATAGTATTCGCATATTTACCAGATCGATCTCCGTAATAATCTCTAGCCTTATATAAAGCAGGCAAAAGAATAGCTTCACCTTCCTGGCCAGCATCCTGATTTTTTAAAGGAATTAAGTAATCAACGGCATTTTGGATGGTAGCGCCATCCTTTGTTCTAATTTCCCATAAATTTGTTCCATTTATTTTTTGGGATAACAAAGCAATGTATGTTAATGCTTCTAAATTAAAACATTGATAATGATATGGTTTTGTTCGTTTACTCTCCATTGGCTGTTCTCCCGATTTTAATATCATATTTTGAAATGTTGTTTCGGAAAATTTTCTTATGAGATTTCTTGCTTCATCTATTCTTCCGGAAAATTCCAAGTATGTCGCTAATTGTGCTACATAAAATGTTGCATGATTATTTGATCTTTTGAATGCTTGTTTTCCCAAGTTGGAATTCATTAACCAATTTGAAAAATCCGAAATCCAATTCCTTATTCCTTTGTCAATATTATCATTCCATGCACGTGATTTTTCTAGAATTCTAACCGCAACTGGAATATATACCTAAGAAAAGCAGAAAAGCAAGGGTTAATATGTACTGTAGCACGTATCGTTAAATTACAAGATAAAACAAATATACTGACATATAAGCGCGTATCAAGAATTCCTTCTTCTCTTCCTTTCCATTCTCCTGGACCTCTTTTTATTTGACCATAAATAACTTCAGGTAACATACTAGTTTCTTCGTTAACAAACCAAGTATCCAACAACTGTACGGCTTTTTCGGCAAAATTTTCATCCCCGTGTAATTGATAAAAAATCGATAAACTTAATACATCTCTAACCATATTTCTAGAATCAACTGGATCTGATAGGTTTCTAACATCAGGATTATATAATCCGTCGCGTGGCTTGTAGGGACATTGAGTTTCCGGATCAGTGACATTTTTTATACCTTTACAAGATGGCCATAAATATGGTGCATATGAGATATATTCTCGTTTATTACCATTCGGTGGTGTAACTGTTGTGTTCATTACTGAATATGGACTATCGTTTTTTAAAGCTATTGAAGCTGTCGAATTTATTGATTTTAACGCTGGATTTGGATTATTTGAAGAAAAATTATGTGACTTAAAGTATTCTAATCCCTCGATTGTAACATAATCGACTTTTAATGATACTATAAATTAGAAATAATATCGTGAAATTAATGTGGCAAATTAAAGACAATCATAAGATTACTAACTTCCGAAAGAACTTACTTTGAGCGATGATTGTTTTTAGCGACATACAAAGATTAATGATAAAAATTATGGTAAAAATTTGTATATTTTTCATTGTTCAAAGAGAAAAAAAGTTACAATGAAAATTTAGAACTACAAAAGAGAGAGAAAATCCCTTGGACTAGATATTTTTATTTCCGATACGAAAAGACTTTATAATCGATCCAGCGATTTAACTAAAAATTAAAATTTGGAATCTAGTCCAAGGAATAGGAGCTGAGCTAAATTTCTAAGGGCGACTTTGAAAAGCCGTCAAAGACCCATTTCCTCCAAGTTGTTACTCTATATACTTGAGAATTGAAGTGACACAAATTTAAATTAATAATTTCCATTAGTGGAGATCTAGTAAAATAAAACAAAGCATGTATGATCGATCTATTTTTAGTTCAATCGCGATTGTTGTGCTTTGTATCGCTTTGTTCTCTTTGTTACTTCATATTCTTTGTGATTTTCGTTCACTATTTCATTTGTTTCACATTTCTTGTCAAGGTTAGGGTTTAGCCTAAGACGTTTAGGTTAAATTTAACGAACTTTGAAACAATGAAATCGGATTATCTATTAGCTGTTATGCATTGTTGTATAAATTATAGTTTATTTCTTTTATACGAGCTCAATGGTATGCATTAGATATTAGGTGGTTGTTACGAAGTTACACCTCTCAGTCAGTGTTTTAATCCGTGGACTTAAAATTTGTAAAGGGAACTAATATTTATATTCAAGTAAAAGAAAATTATTTATGTTTACTCTTCGCTTATAAAATCGTTAATTAATATTGTACTTGCATAAAGTTGAAATCTACAATTTACTAAATATTACAAGAAAGCAGCCAATTTTTTGTTATTTAAAATTTCTTAATATTTCGATCCAACTAGCACCCAGATAACTGTTTTTTGAGTGCAGTCATGTCGTGGTCCTTCTGATTTTGTTAAAAAAGAAATGGTGGATATCGTTAAAATGAATTAACATAAATTTCTTTCTATTTTACCTTGTTTGTATGCAATAACTTTTTATGAACGTGGTTTTGCTGTTTAATAAATTGTTCTAGTGCCTCATTTAATTCAGCTTCGTCGACTGCATCTAGATAACATTAACGGAAGTCAGAATTATTCATCATTTTTAGCAAAATAATTTAGTTATCATACAAAGTTGCTTCAAATTGTTATCAAGATTCCGCCCTAACTTTTGGGATTGCGTGTGAAGCTTTGCGAGGTTATCTAATGTTTTTGCCGTCATTATCTGTTAAATATTCATATTAAAAACGTCTAAACTGATGCAAAGAAATCGTATCTTGAATTTTATTAAATTAAACCTGGTAATTCTCAAGATCAAGCCTTAGTTTCTTGATGTATTCTTTCTCACGTTCTAATCGGTTATCAATCTTTCTTTTCACATTTGACGTAATTTCTTTCCTACATAACGAGACGAGCAATTAGAAAATTTCTATATGATTAGTGTTTCAATTCGACATCCGCGGATGGGCACATTTAGAGATATTCCAAGAGAAATTAACAGCGAGTAAATTCAATTCGTTGTTAATTTGTTTTTTGAGGAAGCCTTTATTTTAGATTCTATGTTGCCATCCGGATCGATATTCTTACATTTCGTTAACCCAAATGGTTATAATACCACTTTCACCATCAATCATTTCCTTAGTTTTTTCTAATCGTGCTCCTTGTTCACGTTCAAATTTGTTTAATTTTGATAAGGACCTTCTCTTGGTTTTAGCTATAGTAAGCGTTATTGTTTGAAATATTTGTGTATTGGTGCCAGCCAAGGAGGTTTAGTATTATTTATCTTAGATCGAGTCGTATATTATACTCAAAAAATAAAATTTGAGATAATTGTAACTCACACTGAAGGAGTCCAATCAACTCAGCCATATCATTGCTCCTTCATATTGAAAAAAAGTTCATATTTACTATAAATTTTATAACAAAACTCCACAATTAATTTTTTACCCGGTACTTCTTTCATTGTCCTCATCAATATCGTCGTCGCGTTTATAAGTATTTCTAAGCGCATATTCTTCTTTGTCAAATAGGGCTCGATTTCTTCCCATTATAGTGTTGTCATTATTGATTTGGTGGTTAGCTCTCTTGATTGTATTCATTACTGCGCCATTTTTATTGGATTTTTGCGGACCTAAGTCGAGGTCATTGTTAAAAGAATAGATAATAAGAGATAACCGAAAAAAATAGAAATAGTAAGAAACCAGCTTGATTAAAAAAGTTGGCTGCCGATGTAGCTTTCTTCCTAACGTTTTCCCCAGTTAAAGTGCGTTTTCTCATTTTAAAATTAATTAATTAAAAGAAAATTTAATGCGATTATATACTTAATGAGTTTATTTAAGTTGCACAAACTTATATTTCCTTAATTCCTTTTTTTATTTATGTTTTTATTATTTTATTATACTATATAGATATTAATAATCGCGTGTTGATCTCGTCATCTCGATCACTTAATAAGAACTAGGATTCTAGGAACGCGTTTTTTTCCTTATTACTATATTATTTTTCTTAAAAATGGCTAAAATAAAGAAAGTTCCCGCTGCTAAAGGCGATGACGGTATTAAACTAATCTATTACAATTGTTAATAGGGTTAATATTAATTCTTTTAAAAATTATTAAAAATAGCAGAACAAATGATCGTGGATTATTTGAGAAAGACGAATAGACCTTACAGTGCTAGTATCCTTCCAATAATAACTTGTATATAATCTATACTTTTTTTTATCACTACTACAAATAAATATAATAGCCGATGTTTCAAATAATCTTCATGGAGCTATAACTAAGACGGTCGCACAGAAGGTGTTGAACGCTCTTGCAATTAAATCCGAAGTTCGTCAGAAAGTCTATGGGAAGCAAAGTGTTTATGTCATTAATCAGGTAAGTTTATCGGAAACTCAGTTCTTACTAAAGATTTGATCTTAATTTATTTTAAATATAGGAACAATTCGAGTCACCTTCACAGGAAGAATTGAATGATATGGATTCAAAAATCGAGGAACTTAAGAAGGAAGTTGATAAATACAAGGAGAAAAATAGACAATTAACGTCAGGTATGTGAAATTTTAAGTTTAATTCTATAAGTCATAAGACAATTAACTTTAATTTCGTGTTGACTAGAATTGGCTACATTGAATAATTCTCTTACTAATGAGCAATGCGAGGAGAGGTATATAAGGGTTTTTCGAGTGAACGTGTAGAGAATAATCTCTAATTGCAAAATTTTAATTTTCACTTAAAGACTGAAAGTTCTAACCGAACAGGTAAGTCGCGTATCTGCATCGCTAAGATAAAGTTACATTATTTTTATGAAAATTTATTTATTTAAATTCAGAACAGGAAATATGAAGAACGGCTAAAAGAATTACAGTCAGGCACTAAACAATTTTCTGTTGATGATGCAAAACGAATTGATGAAAAGTTTGAGAAAAATCGTAAATTCTGGAGACAAAGAAAAAGAATGGTAACGTTATTTACTTTCAAAAATCTTTCTTTCAAAAATATTGAAGATGCTTTGTTAATAGTTTGACGAGATTGTCTCGACAATATTGGATGCTATTGATATGAAGAAAAAGGTATTTGAGGTAAGTTAGAATCACAGGTAAATATTTTAGGGCCGATATTAACTTTTTTACGGTTAAATAATAGGACGAGGAATTGTTTATCGAGAGAGATCCTATTGATATCAACGAGGATCCATTGAAAGATTTGTAAAGTTCACCTTTGAACAACCTAAATTAGCCTTCGCATAATAATGTAATAATTCTTGGCCAACTTTATACTTAATTTTAATTTTTGCTCCGAGTATATAAGATTTCTAATATAACTGCGGTCTAAGTAGAATTCAATCAAAATTTTCTTTTTTTGACAGAGTTAAGTTGACATAATTGACTAACCAAACCTATAAGTAAAAGTTTCATAATAAATAGTCTGTCATAAGATGATCACAAATCTATGAATCTTTTTTACGTGCATACATCTGATAATTTTGTTAATGAAATTCCGATTGGCGGTTACATATGATTAGCGCGGAGAACAACAGGCTCGCCGCAGGTTTGGGTTGACATATCTGAATGGGGTTATATAAATTGATGCGTTTGTTGGGGTTGGTGTTGCCATAAAATCTGAGAATCAGTAAACAGCATACATATCTAAAAAATTGATTCTTTAATATACAAGTTAGATTTACTTCTTAGATTTCTTAGATAAATATCTTCTTACTGATATTACGATCCCCATAAGCAAATTCATAAAAATGTCTCCCGGTCATAACTTTAACGACAATCCTTCAAACTCAACTTCACCTATTATGAATTCATATATTGTGCACGTTGGCGAGCAAACTTTTCGTCTTTATCGCTCATCAGTAACTTTTGATTCTCCAAACTTTTTTACTCAAACCTTTCTTTGTGACGAGGTGCCAGGAGAAAATGATGATATTGTAAACTCAGTAACTACGCGAATAGATAAGATGAATATTATTTCTCCGGACAACATTGGAAAAGCTAACGATCTTAGCAGTGTTGGGGAAACTGATTATAACAAAGCTAAGTCTAGCACTAGTACTCAAACATATGTTACTTCTAATACTTCCGTCAAGGAAATCACGATTGATAGAGACCCTCGATCGTTTGAAGTTATTTTAAGATATCTTCGAGGATATAATATATTTCCACTTTCTTCTGTTAACTTACCGCCTGGGATGTCACTTGACTTGTTTAGAGAAAGTTTATTAGAAGACGCGCGTTATTATGGTTTATGTCGACTCGCACAACTTCTTCAAGCCGAAACTCCGAAACCTTTAAGTTATAAAGACCCTTTCACTTCAGCCGATAAGATTCTTTTATCATTGCGTGACGTTCCAATCCATAAAGAATTCATAAAGTCCAATTTTGAGGGATCTTCCGCTATTGAATTTTTTACAGGTGCTGTTCTTACACTCGAATTAGAGTCTTCTGATGCCTCAATACGTTTTCATACAAAATTTTTGAATGAACAAGATCAAAAGGCTTTAGAAACTTTGGGCGACATTTGTGGGGAAAATTCTCAAATCCAATTCTCAAGACAGTTGAGCACAAATTGGAATATGCGAGATACATTGAACGGAATACGTTTAGAAATTGATGGAGTTCAAGTTACAGGAGTCGATATTGCCTCTTTAGTTGGATCTTATAATCCAAGAGCAAAAGCTTTGGAAGATATGTTTCGCCAATCTGAAGGTAACAAATTGGTTATTTATGCCCAAGAATTTGTTTTTAGGTTAGACCATCAATCATATATTCCCAATGAAAATGATGAAAATCAAGTTAACATTGATGATAAGAATGAACTTGGTAATGGGATTATTTATACCAGCAATAACGGAACAGCTGAATCCAAGGATTATGAGAATCAAGTTCAAAATGGAAATGACACTGAAAATAAAAAAGACAGCAGAAATGATATAATTGATGGAAATAGAATAATTGATGGAAATAGTATAATTGATGGAAATGGTAATAATAAAGGGAATAACAATAATAATAAGGCTATAAAACCAGTTTATCTTGGAGTTGTATGGGCTAAAGGATGGACTCAAGAATGGTGGGCTTGGAATGAATACAGAATGAAGTTAGATACTCTCCAATAATAATAGATTATTTTTATTTTAATTGTCATATTTATATTATTTTAGTTATAAAATTTTGGATTTATTTTCCATTCTTTTATTCATAGCCTTTTTTTTTATTTTTTATTTTTTTTTTTTTTATACAAGGGGCATATGATTTATCTCAAGGCTCAAGCATGCTATTAAACCAAAAAATTTCATTGTTAGTGAAGATCAAAACATATATAATATATCATACAAATATTCCTAAATTATAAATAAAAAAATATAATTGGAAAAACAGAATCATCACTTTTAATTTTGGATCATGTGAAACTCGTGATATCGTGGGTTTTTTTTTCGCTTTATTACTTAATATACATTTAGTATAAATAATTCATATATTAATAATTTTAATTAAGTAAATGTTAAGGCTTGGTGGTCTAGTGGCATGATTCTCGCTTAGGGTTGTCCTCTGAATTGCGAGAGGTCCCGGGTTCAATTCCCGGCCAAGCCCAGTCGGCCTTTTTTCTTTTACTACCACACTTCATTTTTTCCGCAAGCATAATTTCGGAGTTATCTGTATTGCATCAAAAAAAAAAAAAAATTTAAATAATCAAAGCTGGAACGAAATCCCATTAATACAAGACATGCAAAAATCTTTTGGATAAAATCTTGTGATATTGTTCGTTATATACCAGATAATTACGTTTGTGATGGACTGTCTTATTCCGGATGAACGCATGCCCCTTAAATTTCTTTACCTTTTACGGAGCATTCGTCTCCTGAATTCACCTCGTGGCACTCTTTGTACTTACAAAGAAAGATAAACATTACTGAAGTATATATTATTTTTCCTCCGTATTCCGTTTTTTATTATAGATTTTAGGTTAAAAATAACTAAATACAAAAATCAATTCCCCTCATTTTTCAACTACGTAATTCTACGGTCGAATTTATTTTTGTGTATATTATTTTAACTATTTTTGAATTTATATGCGTGTATGCGTCAATATTTTTTTTTTAATATATAATAAGTGCTTTGCCCTCGTAAAATATTATATTCAATAAATTTTGTTCAAAAACTGCTTTATTCTTTTATATTAGTGTTGTAGTTGTTATTTATATTATCATTTTCACGAAACGACAACGAGACTTACATAATGGTACTTAACTTGTTAAAATTCATAATTATATTATCTGCTTGGACTTTAAAAATAACTTAGGCTTGTTTTATTTAACTTAATAGACGAACATTGATCCTGAAGAAATATATACATTGCACGAGAAGCTTGGCACTGGCTCTTTCGGAACAGTTTATAAAGCGTGCGTGTAAAAATAATTATTTTATCATATATACTGAGAAGTATCAAACAAATAATATATTCTCTGATTATACAAAACAGCATAAATAAAGAAACGAACCAAGTAGTGGCTATTAAGCAAATCGATTTAGAAGATTCTGATGATGATATTAGCGAAATTCAACAGGAAATTGCCTTACTATCGCAATGTGATTCATCATATATCACTCGTTATTACGGCTCGTTTGTCAAAGGATTTAAATTATGGATAGGTAAATAATTGATTATTTTTTAAATTTAAAAATTCAGAATGTAATTCCTTTTTTTTTTTTTAGTAATGGAATATTTAGCCGGCGGATCATGTCTAGATTTGGTAAGGGATTCGTTGAATCAATTTAAGGTTGTAACTAAAATTTAATTTGCTTTGAAATATATTTCAACAGCTTAAACCCGGCCCGTTTGATGAACAACATATTGCCATAATTTTAAGAGAGCTTTTATATGGTTTGGAATATTTACATATTGAAGGGAAAATTCACAGAGATATTAAAGGTACTTTACTAATTAATATTCATTGTTTTAATTTATGATTCATTATATAAACTATTTTCTTTATGCTTTTTATTTAGCCGCCAATATTCTACTTTCTGATAAGGGAGAAGTCAAAATAGGTAATTTTTATATGTCGATTGGTCAAATCGACTACTGTAGACAAAAAGAAAGCTCATTTCTAGTGCCAGAACATCAGATAAACTGGATTTCTCCAAATCCGGCACCAGATAGACGTATTAGTCTCAAGTTGGAGCTAAAGCCGGTATTGGCTCTCCGATTGAGTCTAAACGGGATCAAGGCAAACGCCTACCTTGTTAGAATCTTAATGTGTCTCGTGCACAATGGACCATAGAAAAAAAATTATTTTTCATTAAAGTTATTTTTATATTTTTATAGCCGATTTTGGTGTTGCTGCACAACTTTCTAATAATAAGAGTAGGAGAAACACTTTTGTCGGAACTCCCGTAAGTAATAAAAGAAATACTATTTTCATGCATTGGAAGTCTGTTATACTCTCTCATCAATAATCGTATTATGATATAGTTCTGGATGGCACCTGAAGTAATCCGACAAGCAGGCTATGATCATAAGGCTGACATATGGTCTCTAGGAATAACGGCTATTGAAATGGCCAAGGGAGAGCCGCCATTGTCCGAGTATCATCCGATGCGTGTTCTTTTTCTTATACCCAAAGCCAAACCTCCAGTTTTGGAAGGCAATTTTACTTCTACATTTAAGGATTTTGTTCATTTATGTTTGACAAAGAATCCTCTCGATGTAAGTTGTTGATAATTTATGAAGATGAACGTTTTTAGTTTATTGGTGTTACAACTCTTTTAATGAATAGCGACCTACTGCGAAAGAATTATTGCGCCATCGATTTATTAAGTCAGCTCGCCCTACTGTGTCATTACAAGAGCTTGTCGAACGATATAAAGTTTGGAAATCTAGTGGTCCACAAAGAGCTGCTTCTGTTTTCCAGAAAACTCTGTAAGTTTATATAAAGTTTATCCTATATGGTTTTCCCGAATTTAGTGATTGATTTTTTCGCTTAAAATCAAATAGAACGGTTAATAATAATACTTCAGAATTTATTTGGGATTTCGAAACTATCAAACAAGCAGCAAAAAATGGCACTATTAAAGTAGAAGCCAATAAGGATGGTATTATTAAAATAGAAACTAAGAAGGATGGAGTTATCAAATTGGAGACAAACAAGGATGGTACTATCATAATGGATCCAGCAACAATAAGAAAGCTGAAAAATGCAAATTCTGTATGTTAAATTATTAATTTATTGAAATTATTTAAATGAAAAGTAAAATATTCATATGTTTTAATTCTTTAAGCTATCGAATAATTCTACGGTTAAAGCTTCAGATTTTACTGTAAGTATACAAATTATATTAGATCATTATATGTGGTATCACATTAATACATTTTATTTTTCATTAGAATCGGGGAAATTTAGAAGATTTAGCAAATTCGAATGCTAATGGCACAATGATTCAAAACCTTACAGTTGATTCGCTTTATATGAACGGAAAGTAAGTTAAATGTAAATAAAATCTTTTTGAAAATGAATATATCTAACCACATTATTATGATAGTGGATTGGATACTGTAAGAGCGCCAAGACCCTTTAGTGCAGCAAGTACATCATCAAGTAGTGCATCTATTTTATATTCAAGTTTTTCCAGAAATGTTGATATTGCAGCACCTGTAACTGAGGAAGGAATTGTCGGAAGACAACTTGTTAATGAAATCGTTCTACCGTCAATTTCACAGGTTAGCTTTAATTATTTGAACATTTAGCATAACCTTTCAACTAAAAAAAGATATTTATACATTTTTATATATCAAATAAAAAAAAAGATTAAGTCAAGAGAATTAAGAGCAAATGAAATTGAAGCTTTAGGTACACTTGAAAAGGGAATCGAAGATTTAGATCGTGCTAATCCAGATTTGGTACTTACTACTTTAGTGGAGATATTATCACGGATGAAAACGTAATTTTTATAATTTTATATTTTTATGCTTTTTTATTAATAGATTTTAATACAATCTGTTTCTTCTTTTGACGCATAGTAATGTTGAAATATGCGACAAATTATCGGATTTGGGAATCGTTTCAGATGCGTTTTTATCATCAAATAATCATACATCCGATGGATCATCATCATCAGATATAGTTGAGGAGAAACCGATAGCAGAAGAAAAACCAAAATCTCCAATATCAGAAATATTATCATACCCTAGATGGATTGACCAATTACGGATGAAATGGCCCATAAATCTAGGTTCGGGTTCATAAAAATTATTTATGAAACTTAAATTTGGTTATAATTGTATTTTAACTATTTTAACTTTGGGTAATAGTGGGGGAAAACATGAACTTTATTTTTATTCTTGTTATCATCTATATTATTATATTTTATCTACCGATTGGACTTTAAAAATTATACAGATTATATTCATTTTAAATTTTTTTTTTTTTTTTTGTTTGTAATTATTTGTATATTATATTCACTATCTAATTTTGTAACCTTCATTCTTTTATGTTGAAACCATTAACGAATTTATAAATAATCACAATTTCGAATTCGTTTCTATAATGAGATTCTTTTGTATTGTATAAATATGTTAAATAAATTTTTAAATTATTAAACTATTGTTACATAACAAAATCTAAAAATAATAAATTATTAATGTTTAACGTTAAATATCTTATTTAGATTTCCTTTCTGCAGAAGAACTTTGTTCTTTCCATAGCAGCCAAATATGACCATAAATCAGATTAGCAACAACCCATTTCACCAATGTCATAGTGTCCTCTTCACCTCTCATTATCAACACAATATAGGCTGTCACTGCTTCAATAGTATGCAGACTAATCAGGATAACTAAGATTAAATTAATTAGAGTTTGCCCAAAGAATTCTCTTAGTTCTTCAATAATTGCTGGCGATGAATAAGGGTAGAAAGCAATTGTTAATAGAAATACGATAGAAAATGTGGTTATTAATAAATCTGCTATTCCAGGTATAATAAAAGGAGTATGAGAAATTAAATTTTGTGAGGATGAACCGGAAAACATTGGAGGTGGTCTTGTACTTGGCTAAAGTAGATGAAATGGATGGAATTAATTAATACAAATAACAATTGATAAAAATAATGCAAATATATTTTACCAAGCCCAAAGCGTCCTCAGCCTCTTGTGCCATCCGAGTCAATGTAGGTCTAACTTCTTCATACGATCTCAATCGAATTTTAAATTTAATATGAACTTCTGATTTTGATCCATTCTCCTCTTCTACTTCTACTACAAAACCATTGGAATCTATATCTACCATACGAGCACTAACTGCACTTCTAGTTTCTCCATAATACTTTGCGTATCCTAGAATAGTAGCAGGATGTGTATTCATATAAGAAACTAAACGTTCTGAATGAGGAGAAATGGGGTCATTAACTTTACGACTATACATTTTTGAGAAATGAAACTTACTTGACAGGAAGATCCAAAAAAGGTTTGTTTTAGACAAATTCATTGTCACGTGACTTTTATTCAGCATTACAATAGTGCATCATAATTTAAATAAAATAAATAAATAATAAATCGGTATTTACCAGCGAAAAATTGATTCTAAATGCCTCGTCATAGAAAAGATATTGACGACGGGTTAGATACCTCATCAGAAAGTGATAAAGAGTTGTTTGAAATATCTGACACTCTTTTACTGGAGGAAAAAGAATTATTTGAAGGTAGGTTAACCCTATATCTCGGTTCGAATTTGAAAATTTTATTTAGTTTTTTTTTGAATTAAACATAGATCCTTCACGTCGACATAAACGTCGTAAATTTACAAAAGAGGATGCATATCTTGGAATCTGGGCAGATTCTGAAGAAGATCGCCCAAATCGTAAGAAAAGGTGAGTTAAAATTTTGTTATTAAAATTGAATTTTCCTTTCATATGTTTAACGTGTTATATTTATATTTAATAGAGACGTGCGATTTGTTGCCTCAACTTCGAAATCAGTTACAAACGAAAATGATACAGCAGAAAAACATATGTACGTAATTATTTAATTGAATTTTTAATTGTAGATCCGGCTGCAACAAGACTTTTCGAACAAGATCAACATCGCTTTCCAATAATTACATACTTTAGTAATACCGGCACTGATTAATTTTGGTAGTCGCTCAAAAATTTTTTCTCTCCAACTCTAGCGCTTAATAATATGTTAACCTTATAATTATGTCTTTAGAAGTAAACAGTTTCCAGTTGATAATTTTAACGAACCAAAAGAAGAAAAAGATGTAATGGAATCTCGTAGTATTGAGGTTGATAATGAAGATGGTGAAGGTCGTGGAGGCCTTGGTTCAAGTTTTTCACAGATAGATGATCTTGATGAAGAACCGCTAACAACCAAAAAAGAAATGTTTTCCTTTGCATCTGGTTCATCTTCACGAGAATCCACGACGTTAGATGAAATGCTTAATATACAATTTTCATCTACAAAAAGTAAAGGGAAAAGAAAATCTCAGTTTACCCCTCAATTCAAAGAATCTTTACCAGTAGATAAAGATTTTGGAAATTTTGAAAAGCATACAAAAGGAATCGGCCTGAAATTGATGCAAAAAATGGGCTATAAAATAGTAAGTAATAAAACCAAATTAACTCTCGTCAAATCGAATTATTTAATAATTATTTTTCTATTAGGGTGAAGGTTTGGGCTCAGATGGACGTGGTATTGTCAATCCAATTGAATCACAGCCACGACCTGCGAGAATGGGGTTGGCATATCACGGATTCAAAGAGAAAACAAAACAAGTTCAAAAGGATAATGTAGATGATGATGAAATTAGCATCAAACCTGTCAAAAAAGAAAAGAGTAATGCGTGGAAGAAATCTGCTAAAGCTAAAAAATCCAGAGTTGCTTACAAGACTGCGGATGAAATTATCAACGAAATCGGTTCAGGCCCATCAGTTCAACCAATCAAAATCATTGATATGACCGGTCCACAGGTAATTATTTTTTTTGTCATTATTAATTTTGAAATATCTAAATTAGCTAAATCAATTATAATTCCCGTAGGCTCGTGAGATTTCTTCAACTAGTCAGATCTCCTCGCAAGCAATTCCGGACACATCCACACGTTTACCAGAATTACGTCATAACCTTCGATTGATTGTTGATTTATCGAAGGCGGATTTGGAACATTTTACAAGAGAACGTCATGTACAAACTGAACGCACCAAGACGTTAAGAAAAGAAATAGCTAGAGTAACGGCGCAAGTAAATGATGAAACAACAAGTAAGCTATATTGCTAGATTTACACAAAAACGGTTACTTCCTTAGTAAATTCATTTTATGATTATTACGTAGTTAACCTTTATTATATTCTATTCATTTATAGAGATCAAACGTCTTGGAGAAATTATGTCGATCATTAAAGAGTGCAGCAGACATCTTACTGTTTCCTTATCAAGCGATTCCCCCTCATTAGAGTTGTTTTCTGATGCTTTTGAAAAATTACAAAACGAATATTCTAATGAATTCGCTTTATACAATTTGGATGCCGCTGTAATTGCAATAATTACGCCAGTAGTAAGTTTAAACCATTTTCATTATGATTCTCCCAATATACTAGGAATTTTATTTTAATTTTTTTTTCATAGATTAAACAAAATATGATCGATTGGGATCCATTAGAAGATCCTAATTTCGGATTATCATTGGAGTTTCAAAAATGGAAAGGATTATTCAAGAAAAGTCCACCTATAACGAATGCTCCATCTGATAGGTTTAATTACGATCCATACAAGCGCTTTAGGTAAATCAGATAAATTAAGAGAACAATTATTTCCTTTATATTATGATTTTAATCCTTTTTTTTTTTTTACCTTTTAGTGAAATTACTATGACACCCTATGAGAGTATGATGTATAGTGTTTGGCTTCCAAAAATCAGATCTGCAATAAAGTAAGTATTTTTATATGATATTTTTAATTATACATTAGTAAGTTTCTAAATTTAATTCATTTAAATATGATAAAGTAATATGTGGAATGCCCGGGATTATGATCCAGCAATAAAACTACTAGAAAATTGGAAACCACCTTTATTACCAGTGTTTATTTATGATAACATCATAGATCAGCTTATTATGCCAAAATTGACAAGAGAGGTGGACTCCTGGAATCCAAATACTGATAAACAGATGATACATCAATGGCTACACCCTTGGCTTCCTTTATTGAGGGAACGAATGGAACCTTTATACTTGACTATTCGCCAAAAATTCAGATCATCCTTACAGAGATGGGATCCTATCGATACAACTGCATTTGACATTATAGAGCCCTGGAATAACGTGTGTACGCGGGTCTATTCGGATTTGATTATTATGAACATAATTATTAATGTTTGTATATTATTTATCAGGTTTTCAAGCTGAAAGATATGCAATCTCTCATAGTTAAATCTGTATTACCAAAACTTACGGAGACAATGAAGAGGAGACTTCAAATAAATCCAAAAAATCAAGAATTAGGTAATACTTTTTTTTTTTTTTTTTTTGGTTTTGCCTCACTCATCTTCATATTTTAATTTATTAGATGTTTTCAATTGTATCATGATATGGAGAGATTTGTTTACCCCTAAAGTTTTTAATCAATTATTTGAAGATACTTTCTTTATAAAATGGTTGGATACGTTATATATTTGGTTAACACATAATCCAAATTATGATGAGATACGACAATGGTTGGTTATATTCTGAACTTTACTACATATTGATGAGAATCATCTAATATTTTAACTTTTCCTTCATTAGGTATCTTTTCTGGAAATCATTATTCCCTAAAGAAATGCTTGACAGTCCAATTATCGAAGAACAATTTACGAAGGCGTTGTGTATGATTGAAGAAAGCATTTCTTTAGGAAGTGAAGCGTCTACTAGGTTTGTTATTCTTTAAATATTTTAATATTTATTTTCTATGATCATGTATTATTATACAAATGTGATTTCATCATTTATCTTACAGTTATCTACGATTTTATTTTTTTATAATAGGTTGTCTCATCCTTCTCAAAAAAGTACAATTCCAGAACCTGAACAATTTAGATTCTTGCCTGAAGAATCTACTGGTTATACGGACATTGCAGATGTAACTTTTTTCGAGATTGTCGAGGAGTTTGCTCAAGATCAAAACCTTTTGTTTTTACCAACAAATAAAACTCATGATTCTGGAAAACCGCTATATCGAATGGGTGGTACACCAGAAGGCGTCGGAGGGTTACTTATGTACTTAAGTGATGATGTAATGTATGTCAAAGAAGGCCAGAACTGGACACCAATGGGATTTGATGAAGTTTTGGAAAAATTAGAAAGTTCAAAACGTCAGCGTTGATTATGTTATACATTAGGGATTATCAAATGATTATTTGTTTGTTTGTCGTTCGAGTGTTCTTTAACGGATCAAAATTTGAGGTACTACGAATTCATAGTTAAAGGCTCGTTTCAATTAATTATGTTAGATTAAGCAAATACTATAAATCAATGTTTTTGATGTAATAATTAATAATTTATAAATTTATCATGTACTTTGAAAAATAATTTGGCTTTTTTCGTACGCATCATAATTTTTTTGCATTCAAACAAGGGTCAGGGCCGCAAATGTATCGTTCTTATACGTGTACGACATACTATCTTATACGACCTATATTATGTGACATATACGTCGTATAAGAACATAGCACCTGATCGTATAAGAACGATACATTTGCGTCAGGGCCAGACTATTACTAAGTCTCGCCAATCACGTGGTCGTGACGGTTAGCAACTTTCACAACTTTCACAACTTTCACATGATCTTATGCAAATTGTTTATAAGCAATACCCGCCATAATCACATGCGGAACACTGAAATTTTTACAATTATCTATATAAAAATTAATATCAGATATACTGTACAAGTTTTGACTTATTTCTTTATTCAAAGCATTCAAGTTATAGTAAAAAAAGACAAAAATGCTACCTATAATTTCAAGTTATACTTAGAAAAACAGCTTTTCTTGGATATTTTTCACCTGTTTAGTAAACATCCACAATATCTTATATTTGAAGCTCTAAACTGCTGATAAACCAATCAAATTTGGGGTCTATGATAGGTTAAGATTCCCCGTGCAACATGATCACATGTTAATTGATTCTCTTCAAACTTTTTTTTTTTAACATTTGCCTTTTTCTCACAATTATGGTACCACGCACTTTGTCTTTTCTCCATAACAAAACTCCTCCAAACGCGCGTTATCGTAAATTACTATTATTGTCGTGTCGTTTCCTCTTTTCAAGGAATCAAACATCTTTCTTAACCACGAGAAATTTATTGATAGAAAGAAATGGTGCTTGTTATTATAGATTTTATGAGCCAATACACTTACTAGAAAGTAAACGGTTCAATATTCCGAAATATAGTTTTCGTTGCTATACAGGCTCTGATAGTCCAAAACCAACTATTTCATATACTATCAGGTTGGTCTGCCTACTCCCTCTTATTTCCAATTGACCCAGTTGTCCTTTGTCAAATATTTAATTAAGCTTTTTACTGTAAAGTGATCTTTCACAAGATACATATCATCGCCTATCAGAAATTGCTTTGGAATACTTGCTAGAATATTTTGAAAATTTAGATGATCGACTAAATATATCCGCTTTTGATGTTGAATATTCGGTAAGTTATGATAAATGTAATTTTTTATTATTAGATATTAATATTTCCAATACAACTTAAATATCAGAGTGGAGTTCTTACACTTAAATGTGGGACATCAGGCGTTTATGTACTTAATAAGCAACCGCCTAATAAACAGATTTGGTTGTCGTCTCCTATCAGGTGGGTGATATCTAAAAATTTCTTTAAATAATTAGGTTGAGTTAATTTCTTAATTTTTTTCATACGAATACTTTATGGAATTGAAGTGGACCTAAGCGATATGATTTTGATTCAAAACACAAAAAATGGTTTTATCATCGAGATAATTCAACGCTGGATGGACTTCTTAATGAGGAACTGTCTACAGTATTCGGTGCAAAAATTGATATTTCTGTACCAACTGGCTAAAATTTTATTGTTTTTATTTTCAAGCATTCATATATATAATTACGAATGCAATAAATGTTCCCTAATCCAAATAATAAAGCGACCACGGCCTTTTAGTGATACAACGTTAACTGTATTGTTTGTAGATCTTCCATATTTCCGAACCCTGAATATCAATGCTTATTTAATCCTTTCAATCCAAATTTATCCATACTGGTACATATTCATCATTTATTTGAGAGTAAAAAAATAATTAAAAATACTCTACTTCATTAGCCTCGTTATGTGCATTTGCATTTATTCAAGATTACTTTATCGTGAAATCAGTAATTACGTATTGATATTCCTTTTTGGTTTACGAATTCTTCGCTTATGTAAAATCTACCTAAAATATTGTTTGAATACATATCATTTAATTAAATTTGATTTTCTGATACGATTATTTTTCTTTGTGGTGAAGCAACCGTTAGACATTACTCCCAGAACGGAATTCACAAAAGTGTTGTGCAAAAAAAAAAACGATTCATATATTATTTGCTATAATAGCATTGCTTATTTGAATAAACTTTTATTGCATAATAGCTTTTTTTTATTTAAAATTAAAAAAAGACTGGCAATTCTGGAAGAAATGTTATATCTTAGACCATTAATATTTTACGCATTATATTCGTACATTATTGTTTCATTACTAAATTAAGATGTTTTTGACTAGATCGGAATGTTTTTGATCGAAAAAATCATCTATTTTGTATGTAAATCGATTTTAATTGATTGGTGATTTATTTATTCCATTTCTTTTTGAAAAAAAAAGAGAAATAAAGTTGATAATGGTAAACCAATAACTGATCTACTGATATCAAATTTTTTTTTTTTTACTTGCATAAAGGAACAAAGGTTATTTTGTTTTAACAGACACATGCTAATCTTTTAAGGTATTGTCGATCAATTTTTTAAATGAGAATAACCGGCTGAAAATTCATACATGCACATGATAATGCACAAATTCTAGCCGGTTTGCATTAATATTGTAAAGTCATATTATGACATACCTACATACCTCAAGTTGAGGCTTTCAATAACTGATCGACATTATATAAATCGGACTCTCGACTCAAACAGTACTCCAAACAAAAAAAATATAAAAAAAAATTATATAAAAAATGGAATCGACAACAGAAAACAGAGTTGAAACTATTCCAACGACTTCTACGGAAGACAAAATCAAAGATATTGAACAAGATGCGACAAAAGATATAACACTACAATCAAAAGAAATAAAGCGAAGTTCATCACCTTTCGAATACCAAAAAGTTGCTCAATTTGATCCACTATCAAACAATAAAGATAAACAATGTACGATTCTTTGATGTTAGTTACTCTCTTATCTACAAAAGTATATACTCATAATTAAATATTTCGTAACTCTAGCTGAAGAGATAGGAACAAATTCAAAAGAAATAATTAACGAAAAGCAAGAAAATGGAATAAAACAGGATCAAACAAATGAAAAAGAAAATACAAAGTTCGAGTTCACTCGTTCTCTTGAAACCAATCTATTATCGTCACAAAGAGGTAGAGAAATTTTTTAGACTTAATATTTTTTTTTTTTGTTATATTAATAACATTTAATTTTTATAAAGATGGCGATTCTTCATATGATAGTATTAATGAAAAACAAATTACTGCAAGCACAGTAGAGAGTGTTGTAAGACAACACAAATTATCAAGAAAGCCATCTCCTCAACAGGATGCACAATTTGATTTTGGAAAGTTTCTTCAACAAATGAGCAATCCAAGTGCACAAAATATTGCGCGTTATGTCAAAAAGTAAAAATTTGTTAGAATATCCCTAAGTCTTAAGTCTTCCCTTGAACAAAATTTAACTTCTTTTGTTTAATAACAGTTTTGAAAAAGAATTTGAACGAAAAGCTTGGACTGTTAATGAACAAATCAGAATCATACATGATTTCTTAGATGTATGTATAATAGTTGAAACGGTGGTCACATATTGAATAGTAACTAAGCTGAAGAATTTAATATTTTTTTTTTAGTTCATAGCTTTGAAAATGCGTAACTGCGAGTTATGGCGGAATAGTTCTGATGTAGAATTTGAAAATGCGAAAGAAGGCATGGAAAAGTTGGTGATGAATAGATTGTACAAATTGTATGTCAGAAAAACTATATTTGTTTAAATTATTGTTTAATGTGATAAAATTAATGAAACTTTTTTTTTCTAGAACCTTCTCACCAGCAATTCATGGTTCAGTAACAACAGACGATAGAGAACGAGACGAAATCTTGCATCAAAAAATTCAAATTTTTAGATGGGTTAAAGAAGAACATTTAGATATACCTACTGCCCCACATAATGAACAATTCCTTGACTTTGCTAAGAAGGGTATAAAATTTTTTATAGTATCTTATCATAATTTGATATATTTGTTAACATGATTTTATATTATGTAATCAGAATTATTGAAAATAAATTATTTCAAGGCGCCACGTGATAAACTTATTTGCATCCTTAACTGTTGCAAAGTCATTTTTGGTAAAATTTAAAATTTCTCAGTTTTAACAAAACACAAAAAAAAAAAGAATAAGATATTTATAATATAACATAATAAATAGGTTTAATAAGACATGTAGACGGAGAAGAGGGGGCAGATAAATTTTTACCCATCCTTATTTTTGTTGTACTATCAGCTAATCCAGAACATCTAGTATCTAATGTCCAGTGAGTCCTTTTTTTATCATATAAATTTTTTATTACAAATTTATTTGCTCATTATTTTTATAATTTGATTAGATACATATCAAGGTTTAGAAATCCAGAAAAATTACAATCCGAAGCTGGTTACTATCTTTCAAGTTTGGTAAGTGTACATTAATATCATTAATATAATCATATAAGCACATTACATTATAAAACTAATTAATCATATTATCATAAAAAGATGGGTGCAATTTCATTTATTGAAAATATGGATGCATCATCACTTTCTATAACACAAGAGGACTTTGATAAGTAAGTAATTACTCCATTTATTTAAGATCAAATATTTTTCATTTATTAATTTATATTATGATTAGAAATATTGAAGTAACCATGAAAGAACTCGAAAGGGAAAGGCCAAAAATACCGGAAAATACGAGAGAAATCAGTTATGATAATGTATTACACCCTTCAAGATCCGCACAAAATTTAAGGTCACCCATTTTGAACCCTGCGCAAGCTAGAGCATTATTCGAAAATGGAAGAAATTTTGCCCAAAGAACGATACAAAAACCGCTTAACATAGTTGGGAAGATTTTTGCAGAGATCAGTAACGAGGCTAACGAAACGCTTAATACACGTCAAGTTAATTCTAATTTAGAAGTAAATTCATCTTCACAATCTTCTTCGCGTAGTATTTCGCCTCAAAGACCACCATCAATTAATGAACAACCTGTTCGTCATAGACGATTGTCAGATAGTGATTTGTTACAGGATCAAGGAAGTAGGGAACGATCAGATTCAGTCTCTTCAAGGTCTTCTCGAGCGTCCAACGATTTTTCTGATGTTCAAGCAGAAGTAGCACGAGTTTCGGAAGCCGAATTTCAAGCATCTCTTGCAAAACTTATCTCGATGTTCCCTGATATGGATTCGGAAGTGTGTGAATCGGTATTGCAAGCCAACGAATGGAGAATGACTTCATCTATAGATCAACTTTTAGAAATGTCGAACCCAAATATTGGAAGAAGTGATTTTTATAGAGAAAATTCTTTTGAATTAAATAATATTTCTGATAATGACAATAATCCACGTGATGAAGAAAAAAATGAATTATTTGCGGTTTCTTAAATTTTTGTTGCACAATTTGAATTCACTTATTATTAATATATTTTCATCACGTTACATATAATTAATTGACTTCTTCATTCTCCTATTGTTTATTTTATTTTATTTTATTTTTATTATTCATATAAAAAATTCCTTTCGCTAAAAGATAATTATTTAATTTTTATATTATAATTTTTTTGTTGATTTGTTATAAAAAGTATTTTTTTTTTTTTTTTTTTATAATTTTTAGGATTAGATGATTTTAGATGATTATTAATTTTTGCAATCTTGTCTAATAGTTAATTTAGTATTCCGTTTTCAAAAAGTATAAAGTATTGTAAGTATGTATGCTAAATTTAATAATAAAACGTGTGATTTATAAATGTCGCTAATATAAATTCTCATTTATTAAAATTTAGACTTTCCATACTATTTACATCAAAACTAATAAAATTTGTTAATTTAAGAATCACCTAAATATTCCATAACAGAATTATAACCAGCCTTTATGGCAATATGTTTAAGAATACCCGTAGCAGATAGGCCTTTCTTTTTTCTACAAAAAGAACAATTACATACATCTCTACATTTAGGACAATTCCATTCTCCTGATTCACGCGCATCCTGTAAAGTTTGTCCATATCTGATCGAAGAAAAGACGTAAAGTTAAAAATTACGTATAAAGAGATTTTGTCTAAGATGTTTTACTTACCTGCCAAGTAAACATCGTTCATCCATCATCACTTTACATAAAGATCCATCTTCGAGAATATTCTAAAGGAATTTGCGTTAAATAATATTTTTATAAAGCTAACAATTCATAAAAAACTGGTAATACTTACGGTACACTGAACTTTTTCTTCGATCGTTTTTTGACGACATTGATGACAAGTTGTACCATGTTCAGAATCATAAATCCGACCACCATAAATTCTTCTACCAAGATGATTACGAGAAATTTTTCTACAACTTTTCATAATGGTTTTTTCGACGAATTTGATTTTCTTTGGAGTGCCACGTGATTCCTAATGAAAATAATTATTTTAGAAATGTAGAGTTAAAATTGATTTTTGGGATCGGGTAATAATGATACCTTTAGAGGTTTAGGAGGAGGTGAAGCGTAAAATTTTTTTCTACTTTTACGAAGATTATATCTTGGAGTCTAATAAATATATGATAAACTTTATATTTATAAGACGCGTCGATAAAAATATTTAGAAAAAGTGGCATCTTCGCCTCCTTTTTTTATATACCTGTTCTTTAATTCTTTCACTACGACGGGAAGGTCTTCTCCTTTCTTGTTCACCTTCACCACCACTTCCATTATTTTCAGTGATAACACGTGGTTTAGGTAGTTTAGGTTTAATTTGTTTTTTAAGTGATAATTTAAGTAAATTATCATTATCCAACCCAAGTTTTGCTAATATAGCACGATTTTGTTCGATACGTTCCTGTCTTTCCCTTTCATATTCTGCTCCTATCTAATAATATATATATTTTATTTTTTAAAAAAAATAAAATAAAATAAAATAAAAAAAAATAAAATAAAAAATAATAAAAGGG